TTAACACCTGTGGTATTTGCAAAGAAAGCTGTACCAGTGTTCTGTCCCTTTTGTAGCCCTCTGGCTAGGACGCCTTCTAGACATTAAAGAAACTTCATGACAGTTTTCAACTAAGCCTGGTTCTGCAAGGACTAATATTCCAGAGGAGACCTATCCCACTTCACTGCCCCGCAGAGCAAACACAGGAAGGGGAGGTTTGGGAACTGTGCATCCAGCACCCCCAAATAAACCAAAACAAAAGCCACAGAACAGTTCAGCAAAGACGGTCTAATTACTTTGCACAGCTTAGTAGCACTCCAGCTCTAACCTAGAATATGTAAGTATATACTTGCAACATGCTGCTCTTTCTAAAAGCCAGTTGGTTGGGTTTTTTTACATACGACAGACTCACATGGGACTGCCTACCATGCACATTGGACCATCCTTGTACTGCAATGGTTTGCAGGCACATCAAATGGTATTCTTAGATGCTGTATTACTGGATAAATTTTACTTTAGTAAAAGGCTTGAAAGGAAACCTCTCACGTAATGGTAGATATGCAGAAAGTACAATAATTCTAAAGGAAGTCAAAAGTATTGCTTTCCCACTACGTGTGTGATGTCACATTCCAATAGCTGTTGGTCATAACAGGATGTGTGACTTGAGATAGTGTTAACATTAAAAGTATGCTTATGAAGCACTCAATCAGTTTTATGTGTCTAAGGCTACCAGCAGGCGTTGAGAGCATTTGTGCTTCTCACAGGAATTGCTTCAATTTGCGTTGCAAAACCCATCAAGTTTTCAGTCAAACTTGTTAGTGCTGTCGCATTCAGTCTATTTTTATAAAATAGTTGACCTGGATATTTATTTATCCTCTTGAGACTTCTACTGCCATCGAGCTGCCTCTCATCATCAATTATCTTAATCCTGGTTCTGTTCAACTGGGCAGAATTCCTCTTTAACTTGTTTCAACCTATAGAACTATATTTTATGTATCATGATTAAAGACATTACCCTAGGCTATCAATTTTTTTGCCTTTAAATTGGAAAGTAGAGGCCTTACCTAGGATGGGGAAAGGGAACCAGATAGATAGGCAACGTGCCTTTCACTTACCCTGAAGTGTAGTATTACAATAAACCATTTTGCTGAGCAAGCGGTAAACATGACTGTCAGAGTTTTATACAAGATTTGCTAAGTTGTTATTAAAAAAAAAAAAAAAAAAGACTTAACTAAAAGGACACCTTTGTCTGCATTTGGCTTAAGGGTTGCAAATGCTAATGATGACAACAGACTGCAGAAACCATTCAGGAATACTGTAATTTGGAGGCCCAGCCCATCAGAGCAGCAAAATGTAGTGTTAGCTTTCAGTGTGTCAGTCCTGCTTGCTCCCTGCTTCCTTCCGTGGAGTTACTCAGTTCATGTGCTTTAATGATTAAACACCATGCTCATTCAGGCCTTGCAACATATAGTGGATGCACTGTCATCACCCCTGGTCGCAGGCTTGCATTAGGCATATGAAGGGGAAAATAAAATGAATACAATTAAGTAGGCTAACAACAGGAAATTTTAAGTAAGTGCTATACAAGCCCCCCTCCTTGTACTTCAAAGCAATTCTTTCATTTCTATCCTTACTGAAAGGAACCAAAGCTGTGTAGACTGCACCCTTTCTGAGGGATTAAGCCATGGTTCTGCACAGACCTCACATCTCTTAGGCATTAAATTGTGCTGTTTCTAACAGGACTTGAGCCTTTACATTTCTCTTTGTTGGAAAAAAAAAATCATCCTGCTAAAAGCATCTGTGCTCTCTACAACACTCAATTCACACGTATTAGCCACTGCTTAACTTTGGTGTCTCTTTTATGTTCCATACAGCAGCTCCAATGTACTAAGCAGGGTGATTTTCAGTAGCCACTGCAGAGTGCTTTGCAGCACATCAAAAAGAGCTTCTTTGGCTTTTTATCTCCCGAGTCACTTGTTTCTGTTAAATAGAAGCCGGATTTCACATGAGGGCATATCAGGAAAAGAGGAGGGGGAGGGCTTTTTTGTGTGGTTTTTTTGGTTGCTTGTTTGTTTTGTTTCTTCTTAGGAGTGGTTTACACTTTGTTTATGTAACTGCCTGTATTAAAGTATTTTGCATGAATACATTTACTGTAACACCTATGTGTGCTCTGCATGATTTAGAATAAAGGCAAACCATTGTCTCCGCTGTGAACATCCTCCTCCTTCTACCCCAAAATCCTCAATGGGAATAGAAGGCATTTGGGCCTGTTCAAGTGAAAGAAACCCTTGATCACTGAAACAAGTGGGAGTTAGGTAGAAAGAAATTCCAACTCAGCATGACAGTATTTAAGCCTTAGTGCTGTGGCAGAGCTCTAAGTTAGGTGACTAGGCTCCATACAGACTCCTTGGGGAGAAAAAGTAGGCACCAAAGAACAGGATTCACAAAGCTCAGCCAACAAACTAGGTGTTTGCCCCAGCCCAGCTGCTGAAGCCAGCTGGACCTGAGCATCCTACCTCCTTCTTCTTCATGAGCATAAAAGCTGCTCTTAAGATGGACACCACAGAGTTCATTTCACAGAGTTTGGGCAAGAAGAGTTGTGCCAGGGAAACACGTGTGGTTTAGCCATCATGCTATACATAAAACAGAGAGAATTAATTCTGTACCTTCACTTATGCTAATAAGTTAGAAGTGACAGGAGAGGTCTAAAAGTACCATACCCAGATTCATATCCCAGGTCCAAAAATCAGGCAAGTAATGGAACTGAACTAATCTTCCATAACTGGTTAGTTTTCTGACAAGACAGAAGGCAGGAGAACTTCTTTCTCCTGCTTCCTTAGCACAAGATCTGAGCTGAGGAGGTCTTAGACACCAAAACTGAGACAAGGACTAAACTGATAAATGAAAGATACAGAACTAGTTAACTTAAATGACAGCAAGACAAGCACCTCCAGCATCAGTTGTAAGCACAAGGAACTTGATCTCAGTTTTGGGTTTAAGCAGAAGCACTTGTGGTAAACTGTAATTCCCAATTTAAACCCAGGGAGCTGAACCTGGGTGCCATGCAACACTGACTCTATGCAGAGAAAAAAACATAATCAACTGTTTTCATTAAGAATAGAAACCATATGTTTTGCTGGAAGAAAATAACAAAACACCAAGAACTGTTTCTTTTGGCAATGAGAAAATATCCATTACTTTGGTGTTTTATATCTAAAAGACCTAATTCAAAGCTCATTGAATTCATTTGGAAAAAAAAAAACCAAAACAATCTCACCACAGTGAGCTTTAGAAGGCCAAAGTAACTTGCGGGGGGTGGGGGGTGTGTGTTTAGGATAAGGGAACAAATAGCATATAATAAAGCTTTGACAAATTTCCCATCCTAGTTTCTTCACATTTCCTGTATGTCAAGCAGTTTTATTGCTTCTAGATAGCTTAGAGTTTATGCTCCACCAGATACCCAAATTTAACTACCGTTATTAATATGAATGTCAATAATAGTTATACAGCAGTAGGAAAATACAGTTCACTCAGCATTTCGTTATGGAGGTACGTTAAAATGCCTACTGTATGCCTGTCTGTCTAGTAAAGTAATCAGTGAAAATTGTATCTAGACTGCACGTAGGCCTACCAAGGAGGATTTATGGGAGCCTCATGTTTTGAATTTTGTGGATTATTCTAGAAATGGTCTCTCTCTTACCCAAAGCCATATTTAAAACTTAGAGCTTTCAAGCCTAATTCTCTATTTCATTAGCCAGGTTCAAAAAATGTTTTTAGAAGTCACTTCCCGGACAAAGTACTTACTAAGTATTACTGGTAGGATAGGAGGAGAAGAGACCCACTGTCTGAATGAAGCAGAACCTGTACTGAACGGCACAAGCTACCCTTGCCTGAGGAACAGCCTTCTCTGAAAAAGCAAACTAAGCATTTCTATGGAATTTATGTCAATATCCTTGTGATTATAATAGAAATCTATCACAATTATGACTTTCTAATGCAAGGTATAACACAGACTTGAACAAAATCGATGAGGTGGTTTTTCTGTACGGGGTTGGGTAGTTGTTTGGGGTTTTTTTCATAGCACCTATTTTTTTCCCCATTGTACAAATAAGTAATCTAAATGTGGCTGCTCTTTCCATGCTTCAGCTGTACTAATCTGTACTGATTTACACTCCGTTCTTTGATTTGCAGATTAAGCCAGTAATTCTCTACTACACAAGTCCGACTCTCAGACTTCTGTGCAAATTACTCTACTCTGTATATCTTGGAAGAAACTTCCCTGACACTAATGTGTACAAGTTATCTATTATCTTTATTGGACAGGAGAGAGGGTGAAAGAACCAACTGAAACAAGAATTAACGGAAAAAAGTGTCATTTATGTCACCTACATGATGATTTAATTGTAATTTAGGTCTACAGTTAACTGTGTGATAGCCCCAGTGATTTAAGGTTTGCTGCAATTCAACAACGAAGGTAGGGCTTTAGTATGGCAGTATTAAGCTGAGAATTGAATAGAGTCAATACTGAGGGTTACCAACATAAGATTATAAAAGACAGTTCATTTCAGAATTCAAAGAATAAATAATTTTTTGCATTTTATCCTACATACAGGACACCCCTGCCCCTGGCAGTGGTCCTCTTTTGCCTTTTTTTGATGTTTCAGAGGTACAGCAGAGCCACTAAGCTAGGTAACTGAAGCACACAGGAAAGCTTTTGGCTCATGGTAAGCATGGCTAGAAACACATCTCGATTCTAGAAACCCCATTTACTGAAATAGTAACCAGGAATTGAGGCTATTCCAAACTGCATCAGAGATTAAACCAGCTGGTGACAAAGGGAACCTTCACTCCAAACCCAACCTAGTGCTTATCTTGTCTCTAACTGAAACGTTTTTCACAGTAGCAGTGCATTTAGTAGGTGGACATTGGAATGTTCTCTAATCTATATTATCACGCAGTAGCAATGCAACAAGTTCACAATGTTTAATCCAAACACTTCTTTTTTTCCCCCATCTTTAAAGGGAGGTCCAATCCAGAATCGAAAATCCAAGCGTTGCCTGGAATTGCAGGAAAACAATGAAAATGAATTTGGATTTCAACTCATCCTTCAGAAATGCACTGGACAACGCTGGTCTATAACAAATGTCCTGAAAAGCTTGTCATCATAGCAGACTCAATTTTTACCCATTTCTTTTGCTACTGTGTAGCAAATATTGCATTGTTGCCTGCTGTACTATATTCCTCTCACCCCTCACTGCCCTCCACTTCCTTCTCTCCTCTTTTTTGTCCCTTTGATTTTATTTTGTGAGTGTGTGGAAATTGGGTTTGTGGGCTGAAAATAAGACATTTTTATTTCACAATGGTGTTTTCATGGCATTTATAGAGATGCTGAATGACAGGTGATGGGTAGGCTATCCTAAAATATTTTACAATTGTAAATAGGAAACAAATGGAGAATATTTATAACTCAAACTTTTATTGAATAAAAAAGTCCAAACAGTATTACTGTCTAGCTGTCTCCATGGAAATCCATTTGGAAGTTAAGTGGTGGTTTCATTGTTTTCATTAACCAAGCCTGATCTCGGCAAGTTGTTGCCAAGTGTCAGTACTCTCCAGACTTGTAGTAAAATGTCCTACCTGCACACTAGTAGCTACAGTGAGGGAGGATTTTCTCCTTTCGCCCTCTAGGGAGACCTGTCTAGGTCACTGTAGCTATTAGTGTGCAAATATGGGGGGAGGTGTGGTGTGGTGGGGGGAGGTGTATAGGTGTATCATATGCACTCACGTACTTTTCCTCACCAGTACTACTAAGTAAAACCACAGAGAGAACTCCAGGGCTCAAGTGAGGGGAATAGAATTAATTAAAAAGAAGGAAAAAAGCTACAAGACAAAAACAGCAGCTACTGGAAGAAAAATACAAAAAAAACCCCTGACATTTCTCAATGGGTTGACCTCCGTTTCAGTGGCTGCACTTTCCTTTCAATTTTTCATAGTTCTTACAACTTTTTTCTTTTTTTAAATGCACTGTTCCCTGGCTACCACAGACTTGGATAAAAATGGCTCCATCCAAGAGCAACAGCAAAAAGCATGAATTCACTCTGCCTTTCTCCCTACCTTTAAGGAGGTGTGAGTGCAATGCCATATCACTTCATCTCAGCTAAGACTGGGATGAGGAGAGGAAGAAGCAATCTGATGAGCTAAACCAGAACAGTAGGATTACTGGCCTCTTTATTTCCAGCTGCTTTTATTTGTATGTAAATTCCCTTTCTTTTATTACTCTATTTGTTTTTTTATTCTGTTGTTTGTTACCTTAAGTAATAGGCATAGCCTCTTTTGGAGCTGGTTATGTGCCAAACTGTCTTTTACAGGCTGGCTTCACGTTCAGGACCAGCTAGCAGTATTGTTTCTTATGACTGTTTAATAAGTCATGTGGCACGTTAATTACATGTGTCCAACCTTCTGCTATATATAGTTGCCATACATCTGCTTCTCAGAGAAGAAAACGCTGAGGAACAGGAAAAGAGTAACAGCCAATAAAGACGAGGTTAACACCTGCACTTTGACCAACTTCAGAGGTCCCTCAGGCCTGTTTGAGTGAAAACTCCCATTAAAATTAGAACCCTGAAAGAGCATCAATAACCTGAGTGTCCGGGTACCACAGCTAGACAAGGTAAAGCAGCTTTAATTTTACCCTGTAGAGAAAACAGGAGGTTGCTACACAAGCGAGCCAAGCCTCCTGCATACTGGAGCATGTGCAGTGTCCCGACAGGAGAAGGCTCAGTACATGGCATGCAGAGCCATTTTGAGCATTCCCAAGTTCCACTACTGACCAACTGGACTTACTTTTCACAGGCATTCCAGATGAATGAGGAGGAAACTGCATGTTCAGACAGAGAAAAAGCACAGAACTTGCACAGAGTAGCTCACACAAACAAAGCTTCCTTTCAGTAAAGATACCAAGACTTCAGTGTATGGATATGCAGCCATTAAGGGAAAAACAAGTAGTATGGATCAAACCAGTCTCCTCTCGATTCTTACGAGCCTCCTGCGCTCTGACCAGTCACTTTCTGGTTTGGTGCTTTTGGGCTTTTTTTATGAGCACTAGAGGGAGATGCCTGGCAAAGACTTAAAAGTGAAAGGGAGGAGCTGAGCTGAGCTCTGGACTGGTTTATTTCATACCAAAATGAATATTGTATGTCCAGCATCTGCCCAAAGAAGATTGTAGTTATTCCCAATTACATTGCAGCAATGTCCTGATGTTCACTGCTAAGTGAAAAACAACCCAAACACTTAAGTGAGCCATGCAGCCTCACCAAACCATGTTTGGTGCTATCCAGCCATACCTCCCAGCTACACACCAGTTCCAAGTCTGCTGCTCCCCTTGATTCCCATGGGGCCTGCACTGAGGAACAGTTTTCTTCCGCTTCTGTAGACCAGAACAACATTACCAAGAATCCCTCAAAATAAACATGGGGGGAGGGTGGGATGGGGGGGGTGGGAGTGGGGACAACGACATGACAATGGCACAGACTTAAATCCAGACTTGAAACATTACTTTATACTACAGCAATTCAGCTATACATAAAATACATGCATTTTAATATGCTTTTACCTTTGTTTTGTATCATAAACATTTTTATATGATAACTTGTAGAAAAAGGGAAATGGGTTTAAACGTGTGACTAAGCCTACTAAAATGGTATAGTAGAAATTATGAATGTACATAAGCAGCACTATTATTATGCACTTTGAGACATAAGGTCTCAGAACAGATTTTCTTTGACATGCCTCTTCTCTTAGAAGAGAGAGAAAAACAGAGCAGAACAAGCAGAACTGAAGGACATAGCCATCTTTTGCTAGACATGCACTCACTCTTAGTCATGAACTGCCTCATCACCAGTTTCCTTTTCAGATACACAGGAACTACATAGATACAGCAGCAGTGCCTCACACTGTAAAAGACAAGTAATCACCATACTAAGTGAAAAATAAAACTCATCTTCATTTTCTGGAAAATTACAGAATATTATTCAACCATCAGTTGCCTCAAATGATCAAAAACATTCCCAAATCTGCCTCTGCAATAATTTGGTTTTGGTTTTTTTTTTTTTTAATTGTTTTAAAGACAGAAAACTAGCACTTAAGGGCAAAAAAGAGCACTGTTCCAGAAGTCATATACCTCCTCACCCAAGTATGGCCAGAGATGAAGACAACCAGAAATATCCAGTCAGCTCCTTCTTCCTCATACTGCTATAGAACTGCTCCCAATATATTTTGATGAGTTTTTCTTGACAAGTAACAACAGTGTATCTACTAGCTGGTAAGGATATCCTGACAATTAAACAAAAAAGAAAATTTCAAGCTACCCTAAGCCTTCCTCCTATGGATAACATACACTTACCTTCCTCTATCTCCTCAGCTATCATTCAGCCAAATTGTTATACCAGGATATCACTTACAGTACAGAAACTTACAGTTTCTCAAGGCTATAAGAATTTCACTATGTGTCCTCTCACAACGTCTGCATGTGGGATAAGGCACCAGCAACAAGGAAGAACAGAGCTGTGCTGTGCTGATGACATGAGCACAACATGCAGAAACTAACACTTTCATGTCCTTGGGGAGAAGATATTAGGGTTTGGCTTGTATCAGAGATCCCTAGGTCATACTTCTGGAGATGGGCTGTACAGTCTTCAGAAGAGATCCAGGTTCTAGGAATTTATTCATGTATTTGTTTATTTTCACAGAGCTAGAGGTATTCAGGAGCATGGAGTAACAAGACCATACCTGTTCATTCCCAGCTAGAACTCAGACAAGAGAATACAAAAGTGCCCTCACCTGCTTGGTTTTTCCATGCTTGCTAACATCTGTTGGGAGTGACTGTGCAGAATAGGGCTTAGCATTGTCTTCTTTTGCTACAGAAGAGGCAGCTATTTTTGGTTTCATCTTTTTGAAAGACCAAAATTTAATCCACCAACAGCAGGGCTTAGTTATACTACCTTCTGTGTCTTTGCTAAAAAGAAGTTAATCAGTCAACACCCATCACTGAACTTTTTTTATGTATGTTGATCAAGAGGTGATAATTAAGCAAGTAGCTGTCACAAGTCATTCTGTACTGGGTAGCACTGAATACTCAGCTGGAGATACAGAGGAAGGGAAACATTGAGATTTCAAGGTCACACATCAGTAGAATGCACCACAATTTTGTTTACACCCTAAATTATATATATTTGTGTGTGTATATATATATCTACACGTTGTGGTTTAAGCCCAGTCAGCAACTAAGCACCATGCAGCCGCTCGCTCACTCACCCCCCCACCCCTCCGCAGAGGGATGGGGAGGAGAATCGGAAGAAAAAGCTAAAACCTTGCAGGTTGAGATAAGGACAGTTTAACAGGACAACACAAGGAGAAAAGAAATAACAACAACAATATTACTAATAAAAGAATGTATAAAGCGCGTGATGCACAATGCAGTTTCTCACCATCCAGAAACCAATGCTCAGCCCATTCTGGAGCCGCGATCCTCCTCCCCACCCAGCCAGCTCCCCCGGTTATATACTGGGCATGACATCATGTGGTGTTGAATAACCCTTTGACTAGTTCAGGTCAGCTATCCTGGCTATGCCCTCTCCCAGCTTCCGTGAAAATTAACTCTATCCCAGCCAAACCCAGGACACTATACCACCAAATATATATATATATATATTTTATATATATATATATAAAATTATACATAAAATGT